ACAAAATAAAGATTGCAACTCTATTTTTATATAAAATAAATATCTATTGTTTACAAAGTAGAACAATTACTATTGTAATTTTTGCTACAATGTATCATTTTTTGTAAAAAAAGATATTGCCGTAGTTTTTCACATAGAATTAAACTCATAAATTACAGACATGATATCCAATAGACGTGGTACGTTTATAAACACATTATAGGCTTTATAAAAAGCACTTCGTCCCACAGCTTTTAGATTAAATTAAGCTTTATTAAAGAATTATAGTCTGGAAAGTATTATTTGCAGACTGTCTGATGCTATTTAAAACTTACTGACATGACTTTTAGTTAAAATTGCCATTTCCAATTTGATTTTTAATTATGTTGTTAATTAGATTATTTTATCGAAAAGTGCACATCCTGGTAGAGTTATTGATGAACGAATTAGAAACTACCCTTAAAAAATTGGCAACAAAATTAGATTTAACTTTGCAGGGTGAAACAGTAGCGACCTTACTAATTAAGTTATAAAGCAAACTTATTGATATTTTGTTCTATTTTGAGTGAATTATTAATTTCATGAAATATTTAGTACTGACGCTAAAAATTGCTACTCAAATGACTGTTTTGTAATTGGAATTTTTAGTAGTTTAAAATTGTTTTGCTGAAAAATATTTGACTACGAACCGCCAGCGGTGATAACGATATCCGGCATTTGTGAGATATAATAAACAAACAGTTTGCAAAACAAATTTTGGTAATATTTACTCTGTTAAAAATCACCAATTCAACAAGTTTGTTGGTGTTTTTTGTCGGTCGCCTATCAAAATTTGACCAGCCGTTCTTGGAAATGTGTGTTGTTGACGTCAATTATCCTCGTATAACAATGTCTGAAATAATACAAAATAAATAAAAGTGTAAGATAAACATATTTATCTTGAGAAATTTTTGAACGGTAACCTTAGTTTGAACACTTCGTTGTGTAATTGAGTGAAACTAGACTAAAAAATGTCAGTAATCGATTTGCCTGGAAAAGATCATCAACAAAACAAATTAGCATTTAATTTCCTGGAAGTATTTAAATTGCAAATGGTCGTCTGATGACGTGTTGGCAAACGTGTAAATAATAATTTATTGAGAAAATAATAAATTTTAAATCGCTTTTCTGGAAGGGTTCGCTTAGCGATTGATTGGAAGGCAAATTGGGTATATCTAAATCGTTGACTTTACCTTGTGGGTCGCCCACGCAAATCGTTCGAAATTTTTTCTCCAATTTGGCCCAAAAATAGGCCAATCGTAATTCGACTGTGTGAATAATTGATCTAAAAAACCTCGCTTGGTACTAATAATTAAGGAAAGTTCCTCGCGACCACGCAAAATCATTAATAAATTGTGTGTGCTATTGGAATGCTATTATTACGCATCGAAATAATGAAAGCACATTTTCGGCGATATACATTTATAAGCGGCTGTGTCTGCGGGGTTTTTATAAATAATAGATAGGGGCAGTTTGCATGCCGGTCGGAGTTTTGGGACACGCATCCCACGCAGAGAACGATTTGCGTGAGCGATAGGGACTCCGATAAGCCCGCTTGCAGAATGCATAACGGCCTCCGAGGGGCCTTTGGAAATACTCCACGTTGCATTTCACTGATGTGACGCTTTCACATCGATCTGATTTGATTTTCCTAATTTTCCGCCGTGGAAATGCTGAGGTTCATCCGATGGTTTGTAGTGTGCGTATTCCCTTGGTATTTATATCGATCTTCCTGTAAGCAAAAATGACGCACACGTTGCGTGTCCAGATCCAAACGTAAAATATAGCATAAACCGCATAAACATTAGGAAATAAAGCCACGTGTAATGGCTGAGGCTATTTTCGACCGACCGTAATGCAATTTTTGCATTTCATTGTTAAAAACTTCTACAACTAGGTCGCAAGATAGGTGGAACTAGCCCGAATAGAAGAGTCGTGAAATATCGATGGGGCTATTAAAAGGTGTAGATTACCGGATGCTCGATGCCAAATTAAAAAGCTTGATTGTATCTTTAATTTAAGGTCTTCCGGTTTTAACGAACGAAGGTGAAAGGTCACTTAATGCCAACACTGTTATCATATCTTGCTTGTATATTTTTTGCATTTCCTTAGAATTGCAAGTTTAAAACAGCATACAGTTTGGTCAAGTTTTATTGTCAAACTTGACTACTGAATTTTTATTTTTTCATATAAACTAGAATTGAGTTTCCCTTGTTTGTTATGCATCAGGATTCAAACTTTTGGTATCCTAATTCAAAATGTTTTAAAAACAATAGGATGCAAATGTTCTTTGTTTTATTTCTTATTTTTTTATTTATTAAAAGGGTTTTTGCTAGGTTTTAACAAAATGTTAAATGTTTTATTATAAGAATAAAAACAATGAAATCAAATAAAATCATTTCTATTTTTACCATTTATTAAAAAAATCGACAAAATTGAACGAACTATCGAGTAAAGAAGTTTATACAGAAATTTTAGTTTTGCAACTTTGTGGTGTCCCATGTCCCATAGGTGATAACAATTTTGAATAGTGGAAAAGAACAAAACAAACAAATTTAATTTTGGAATTTTTGGATTATTAATGTATAATTTCACATTTTTTTAAAATACATATTTCACTAACATCAAATTCCATAAAAAAAATATTTGTAATGCTCGTTTTGTTTTTGTGTTGGGGAATCCGGATTTGCTAAAATCGCTTTAAAAAACTGGTTTTGTTTTTCCCGGAAAGTTTAGCTATATCCTGTTGTCCGAAAAAATGTTGTTGTTTATTTCTGCGTAATCAAGTTACGAATTTAAGGCCGAGTCGTCTTAAAGATAGTACCAAGGCTAAGCGAAGAAAATTTTTACACCAATTAGAAACTTTCCACTCGTTTGTTTTGACGGTGGTCGATTCTTCAGCAAATTCGATAATTACGAAAAAAACAAAATGGATAGCTGGAGGGGCGACTCATTAGCAATGACCCCCCGCATAATCCTGAAGCAAAACATGTTAAAAATGCTTGAAAGGGTCAAAATCCATTACGTCAGTTTTGAAATCAATTTCCTCATAATAGTATCAAAGTGTTTTCGACCTTGTAGCGAATGTTGTGATGTGCGATGTGTGTGTATAGTAAGTCGCTAAACCGTATTGATATGTAAGTAGCAATCAATAATATGTGCGAGCCATAATTATGTCCGGTTTTTACATTTTAAATTGTCTTTTAATCGATTCCGGCGAAATCACAGGTAGGTCGTTTATCAATAATTTCGGCAAGATGGCTCCTTGTGTCCATTGCGGATGTAAATATGTGAGTATGCCAGCGAGTCGGGTGAAGGAAACGCTATAAAATGCAGCGACCGGTACATAGTGGTTGTCCTTGGCCACTAAACCACACTTAACTTTTTCGTGGGGTCCTTTACACTCCGGTGATGCAGCCCCCCTTTACTCCCCGGCACATCAAATATGCACTTCGTTTCGGTTTTGCTTTTCGATTAATGCGGATGTCCTGCAGGTGCATCGAAAACACGCAAAATCCACGTCCGGAGACTGAGAATACAAATATTTACACAAATGTGCAACAGCGACGATGAAAAAAGCTCGGGGAATGCAAATTTTGTGCGTGGTTTAGATGCACCTATATATGCGAAATCAGGAAAAAATCACCCGTTTTTCGTTGGCTTTTTCTGAATATTATCAATAGAGTTTAAAGAACAATAGCTTATTGTTTGGATTTATAATATGTTTCTGCTCCTCATTAGGAGTCGTCTTTTACTCTTCGAAAATTCTTTCGCTTCAGTTTGGGAATATTTAATTCCATCATACGCACGCCACCAACAGTTTCACACAAACTGTTTTTTTACTAATGTTGTATTCTTACTAAAATTGTTCTTACTAAAATTTAAAATTAGCAAAATTTTAATTATAAATATACATATTTGGTATTTATAAATCAGCAAAAAAAAAGAGGTAC